ATACTCTACAAGGGTTTGCTAAGATGCAGAATCTATGACAAAGTTGCACTTTTGGCCATCCAGCTTTCCTGTCATGTAGACACTATGTGTGCTTGGCATTTAACACCTAGCTGTTGGGACTTTCATGATGGGGTTGGTGGGTGTCTCTCAACACCAACCACTACTGGTTTCCCCGAGGCTGACTTATTGGTAGTATTCTTTTTACACTGGCTCCTCATATGTTCTTGCTCTCCACAGTTCCAACAACCTTTCTGGGTAGCAGATTATTCTGTACTCTTTCCTGTACTTCAAACAGTTACGACTGGTTTCTGTACTTAAATTTCTAGGCCTATGATCTGTTACTATGCCAGGCCACAAACTTTTCTTTAAGGTTCTCCTGATTCCTTTAAATAAGCTGTTGGATATAATGATGAGAATAATAGTCCGAAGACATTTTAAGCAGTTGTACACCATGAACTGTCATGTTTCTGCAGCTTTCTCCTTCTAAAGTTCTAACTTATTCACAAAGCTGAAATTTCATCTGAAATTAGGCTAGTTTGTGTCTTTTACTGTGTTTTTTTTTGTAGAACTTGAAATACCATATAATGTAATATTTCCAAACTCCTCATGGCTTCTATCGTGGAAATGGCTGCTGAAGGTTCTTTGTCTGTGGAAGATGTTACCACCAGTTTTCACTGTTTAATGTATTCTGCATTTCTTCCTAGTTCCTCTATTTCATGTGTATTCTCCTTTCCTGAGCCCAATCAGAAGGTCATCATTTTTATCCAGGTATTTTCACTGCCTGGTTGTGCTCTGGCCTCATCATTTCACGTGACTTCTTGAAATCCCTTTAATCTGTTGAGGTCTTAATCCATTACGAGGAAGGTGAAAGATAGAGAAAAGGGTGTCATGTCTGAATGCATCTCAGCAGCACATAAACCATGTGGGGAGAGAGATAGTTAAAAATGAGATGCCAGCCTTAGTAGGAAAAAATACAAACCAAATGAATCCCACAAAAACTATGTGCATCCCAGAGGTAAGCCTTGGCTAGGAGACAAGAAGAAAACAGCTAACAATATGATAGAACAATGAGAAGGTGAAGACAGGAGAAGTAAGCCCTGAATCCTCTCTATATGGTTTGCATCTTGCTCCACTCATTTGCCATGAGGTCTTTAGGGTGTTCTTCTTATCTTGGAGTCTTGAGTGGAAGCTGCTTGCAATAAATTTTCTCACACTTCCTTACTCTCCCATCTTGCCCATTCCTGTAGACCCTCTTATGTTGCTTGGCCCATGTACCATTGTCCTCTTTCACATTTGCTCCTTCCACCCTTCTACCTCCTCTTGCCATTTCCCTCCTAAATGACTACCTTTGTCCATCTTGTCAGTGACTACCTCTCCTTGTGCTTGGTCAGCTTGAGTCCTGTGAAAGCACTTCTTTCTTAACCTGTGGACTCCCTGTATGGCTGATCATTGAGACATTCGGGTTCTTATCTACTCTCTATCTCTTCACTTCTCTTTCCCCACTATTTGTTCTTCACTTTCCAGTCCTTAGCACATCCACTGTCTCGAGGACACATTGTCAGAGCTATTGGTGTTTAATGCCATAGAGAGTGACACTTGCCCCTCTCCAGGTTACTATTACCATGTCTTTAGTGTTCCATTGAATTCTAGGGACAGAAATCCCCCTCATTGTATTTCTTCTCTGAACTACTGATGCTTGCTATGTTTCAGATAAAGGGATTTCTTCTTAATAAATTGTTTTTTCTGGCCTTTGGATGAAGATAGTTCAAGTCTTGGATGCCTTTTTTCACATTCCAATAGCCCCATCATCACGACATTTCCTTCAACTTGTACATCATGATACAGTGTACCAGTTTTGGGCTCTATCCTTTGGCATAGCTTTTGCTCCTTATGTCTTCAGCCATGCCATGAAGGCTTTTGCTCATCATAGCCACAGTCTTGGCTTTAGTTTCCATTCCTTTCTGGACATATGGCTACTTTTCACTTGACCTCTTCTACAGCCACATCCCTTCTCCTCTTACATGCTGTTCATCTAGGATGGCTGGTGTTATTTTTTGTTGTTGTTCCTGACTCCAACTATATACCTGATCTACCTCAGAGCCCTCTTTTCATTCAGGCTCATCCTTCTCCATTTTTTATGCAAGTCATGGAGTGTTTGGTCACCTGAACTTTTTTGGTCCCAGACCCCACAACTGGCTGCTCTGGCTGTGTATACTCTCAGCCTGTATTGGAATATTCTTTTCTGTATGTATTATCTGCTATCTGCCTTCCCCCATGTGTCTTGGCAATGTTCCATGATGCTCTTTGTCATGTCCTGTTGATAGCACCCCTTTATTAGCAAATTTTGTCCTGGTTTCCTTTTATCCACTGACTAACATCTTAGGCACTTCTTCTTCCATCATCAATTCATTGATGGGCAGTTTCTCATATTGTATTACCCTTCTTTTATACCACTCGATTCATCCTTTCACTTTCTCTGTTCCATGATGCAAATTACATTTTTTTGCCACTGGTCCATCAGGCACTGTTTGGCTTTCAACTTATTTATCAGAATGTTTCACCAGAGGTTGCTGATCTACATCATAGCCTTGTCAGCCACCTTTCACCATTTTTGCCATAGTTCTGTCTTTTCATTCACTGCCCTTCTACCTTCTTCCAGTCTATCTTTCTTTCCTTTTTTTCATCTGGCTCATTTACATGATTGGAGTTTTCTTTACAATTTGAATTCCTACTCACTCATTTATTCTCTCACCATTCCTTGAAGGAATAGCAAGATTGGTCATACATTTTCTCTACCCATCATTGTCACATATTGGTTTATTTGTGTATTTCTCCTTTCATACCTCCTAACATTTTCCTTACCTTAAAACGTATTTCTGATAGATACATGCCTCTCTGAACACCTTCCTTTCCAGTGCACATTATTCTTGCTTCATCTAAAAATGAAGTTAATTTCGAATGCAAGTGCTTACGGAGATCTAGTGCACATGGAGGATGTGTCACCTTCATGTTGGTGGAGGGCTATTGCCACATAATGATTACATAGTGCTGTTCATCTCAAATGACATGTCTTAGATGGGAGATAGTTCAAGGCTAATGACTTGTGCAAAACCTCAATGGCAGGTGTGTAAGAAATAGCTACTGTGTGCAGAGAGGTTAGCATCTATTGGAAATACATTTTCAGGTAAGGAAACTGTTAATATTTCTAGCTTTATTGAGAATTTTGAGGTATTGCAGAAGGATTAGATCAATTGATAAGTTGGACAAATATTTTGATAACTGCAAGGTAATTCTTTTAGACATTCTTTGTTTTTAGGAAGACTCATTAAGAATAGTGAAGAAATTCAAGATTTTAATTGTTAATAAACTAAATGCTTCTTAATGGTAGATTCATAACATTGACTCTGTACTGTTAGTTTCCTATTTATTAAAAGATTTATGCTAAGTTGGATTTTATTTCTAACGTGTTTTCAGAAATTTAAAGAAAAGGTAAAATTTATATATATATACGTATAGACTAAGACAGATAAGAATCAGTAGAATTGTTTTAAAGATTTTGCTTTATTGCATATGTATGGATTGAACATAAATTTATTTTGTAGGTCATTACAGATTATGTAAAAGAGGTATCCCCAACTTTGATGGACAGGTTTGGCCGAAATCATTCGTATCTGCGTATCTCTTTGACAGAGCGGTGTAACTTGAGATGTACGTAATTTCAGTGTTTATTATGTCATTTTCCTTTATTATGTTTAAAGATTGGAACATTTACATAATGTTGCCAGTTCTGTGAATTTTTTCCACTGTACTTAATTTTTTCTATTTGGAAATGTTTGTTAACTGTTAAAAACTGCCATGTTATTTAGGATGTGTTGAAAAGAAGTTTTTTTTTTTTTTGTACTTCTAACCTTGCTTCACTATACATATATTAGAAAAAAAGTAGACGACAGAAAATTCTTTGCCCTGTCCTTGTAATACATTAGACTAACATAGAAATTCAATTGTAATCTTTTCTGCAAACTAATTTAACAGAGCTTTGAAAAAATTAAATCATATTTTCTGATATTGTATTCCACAACATTTAAGTTATAAACCTTATGTGTAGGCATCCAAAGGTTGTACATTTAATCTGTAATATTCAAGTCACTATTTCAATGCATTTATTTCCAGAACATTTTTTGAATGGTTAAACTATTTTCATGTGAATCTTCCATGTTTCAAGCACAAATTGTTCATTGTTGATCTTCAATCATATCTTCTAAAGCAGAAACCACCTAGTTAGTAGCTGAATTGGATTAATACAACTGTAGGCCCTGTGTGTGTGTGTGTGTGTGTGTGTGTGTATGTAATATGTTAATTCATTATTTGAGGAATAAAACTGTAGGTACAAATATGTTTTGTAAATCTCTAATTTGGATAACACAAAATTACAAGTATTCAACACATACACTGAACAGATTTCAAATGGAATAAAAATCACTGTAGGCTGTAGCCACTGCATCATATCATGCATGATATAAAAAGTGGTACATTTAATTTGACTTTCTAAACATTTAGATTTTATACCTTATTAACTAAGAGCAAATGCATATTGGTTTAGTAAATATAAATTATCTGAATTATATAACAAAAAAATCCTACTATAATTTAAGGAAAGTTAGTTTGTCATCCAATTCTTCCTAGGCTTTTCATTTGGACTTGTCAGATATGGTTTAATCAACTAGGAATGATTCAAGGTGAGTCAAGAAGTTAGTTTTCTTTTAAAATTCATAGATTTCATAGCTTCAGCACTGGCTAAATATAAATGAGTCAGTGGGGGTGGTCACTAGGAATACTGATGGGATTTCTTCAGCTTCCTTTTTCATTATGTGGGGTATACATACAGTCTGTGTACTTTTAGTCATTATTGGCATACTTAGGACAAAAATAGAAACACTACTTATATTCATAACTGGTAAAACATTAATTCTAAAATTGCATTTGAGTGATTTTTTTCACACATTTCTGTATACATACTTTCAAGATAGACACACTAATATTAAGTCAGATTTTTTTAAAGTCACATGTTACTTATTGCTTTTTGATAAAAAGAAAATAAATAAAATGTTATTTAAATAATCAAACCCAGTGGAAATGTATAGTTTTATTTGTATGTACTTGTAGTTTTATATTACCACTGGCGTATTTTGGAAAAAAAACCTTTCATAAACCTCTCACTATACATCATATGGGTTCATCTGCTTATAAGGTTAAATAAGGGCAGTTCCTTGACCTCAGTTAACCTCATATGTGGGTCCATATGTGGCCTTGGGCAACAGTCCAACTTTCCCATGATATAATCCACTACAGAGTCAGACTCATCTATACTCTTTCTTATACATTAGAATTCTGTCTATTCCAACACTGAATATAATATTCTAAAACTAAAAAAGTTCTGATAAGAAAGCAGCTTAAATAATATCAAGAATATCATCTTTACCGTTAAAGTCATCATTTATATATACACTTCTTAAATGGTACCACCTCTACTACCTCATAGCTATCTCAACCTTCATTTGCCCTCTAGACATTGGTAAATCTTATGAACAACTGCATCAGTCTTTTATACCACTATATTTTTTGCATCATTACAGCAACATATGCTGATCATGTGACCACCCTCCACCAATCCCATTGCGCCCTTTATACTAGCGCAAGTAGCTCCCTCTACCATTGCAGCACAATCTTCACTTTCTTGATTGGCACCACGGTGTTCAGACATGTGTTTTCACTTGTTCTTCAAGCAAATTTTGATACTTTTTGTGTGTTTCCTTGCTAGTTTTTACTTTTAGTTGGAATTACTTGTTCATTTAGTAGTTACTTTACTCATCATTTTAAAAGTCCACATGGACTTATCAATTCGAATTTTTATGTGGTGGATGAAGAAGTTCCTGTCAATATTGACAAAACTCATGTCACTAGTCTGCAGTTGCTGATGATGGCCAAGGAAATTCAGGCATTAATTTTCTTTTTTCGGTGGGTTTTTCCTGAGGTCTTTGGATGACCTAGTTCAATGTGACAGATGCTTACTTTCCTATCCCCATTGCTCAGGAGTCATTTTGTTATCTTTGTTTTGTCCTTGGGGAGGATGTGTTCCAGTTTTGTGCACTACAGTTTGCTCTTGCCTCAGCTCCTTATGGGTTCTGTCGGGTTGTCCATGCCTTTGCACATCATCATCATTTGTTGACATCAGACTCATCATTATATGAACAACTGGCTCCTCCTTGCCTCTTCCTGAACCCAATCTGTCAATTACACCTGCTTCCTTCTTTGGGAATCTGCTTGGATTGGGTTTCTCATCAAGGTGGAAAGTCCTTTCTCACTTGCACTCAATACTTCATTCATTTAGAGTTCCTCTTCAATTCCCATCTCGGTCCCATCTCCACTTTGGCTCCTGGATCGAGCAGTTACTTGGGCTCTGTCTTCACCTTCTCTTCCTGCTTGAGAGACTCTCTCTCTCTTTTGGGGAAGTGGGCCTCCCTGGAAGCCCTCATTCCCTTAGGTGGAGCACACATGTGTTCCCTTCATTGGAACTTCTCTCGTGGTCCCTTGGATCATCCTATTACTCTTCCCCTAGGCTGATCTTTTTTGGTGGCTTGAAAGAACTCTTACTATGGAAGGGGTTCCTCTGCTTCGATCTGACTTGCATCTGTTCACAGATGCTTCTTGGTGGGTTGGGGGCTTCCCTCAACTATCAGGAGATTTCGGGTTGGTGGTCCATCGAGGAATCTACTTGCCATATCAACCACTTGGAGCTGTTGATGGTTCATCAGGCTCTCACTCATTTCCTCCCACTCTTACAAGAGCGGGTGGTTATGGTTCATTCCAACAATTCATCTATTATCAGTTATATATCCAAACAAGGGGAACCAAGTCCAGGACCCTGTGTTTTCTCACAATCGACTTATACTGGGCTCACAGCTACATCACACTCTTGGTGTGTCATGTTCCGGGCATTATGAATCTCGTTGCAGACCATCTATCCTGGCCACACCAAGTTCTTCTGGAAGTTTTTCAGTGTGTGTGTGTGTTCTCACCTGGGTACACCTCATATCAATGCATTTGCAATGCATTGGTATGCCAAAATTCCTTCCTTTTGGTCTCCTGTCCCACAACCCTCAGCTCTGGGGGTAGATGCATTCAGTCAGGATTGGATGGGCCTTCATCTCTATGCTTACCCTTCGATCAGACTCCTCTCCAGGGTTGTTTCTCTTCTACAAGCCTCTCCTTGCCAGTGTTGCTAGTTGCTCCATACTGGCCTGCTCAGTCATTGTTTCCTCTACTTTGGCCCTTACTGGAGCAGCACCCCTTTCCCTTACCTCCATCCAGATCTCTACTCTGGCAGCCTTGATCATACATGTTTCTTCCAGGCATCACAAAACTCCATCTTCACACATGGCTTTTGCCTGGTCCATTAACTCCTCTCAAGGACTCACTACCCATGTAGCTTCTTTGCTTAACCAATCCATACGTCCTTCCTCATTGTCCGTGTATGAGCATCATTGGTCTACTTTTTGCCAGTGGTCCATTTGCCAGGGATTCCATCCTTCCTGTTCTTCAGTTTTTCACTTGTCCAGGTTCTTTACCTGGTTATTGGATCAAGGTTTGTCAATGTCCACTGTTTCTAGTTATTGTGCTGCTCTGTCCCACACCTTTTGCTTCTCCCTTTTTTATAGATCCTTCTTTTCCACCATTATTTCTATTCTTTTCCGTTCCTTTTGTATTGTTTGTCTGCACCGTCCCTTCATGCCCTTGCCCGTTCTCCTTTCAAACCTGTTGCTCTGTGTTTTTTGTACCACATTTCCCTTAAGACCTATTTCATTCTCCTTCTCACTAGTGGTCATCATCATTCTGATATTATGCTTTTAATGTTTCCTGCACCCTTTTCCATACTTCTTATGTTCTCCTTTCTTCCGATTGTTCCTTCCTTCCCAAGACATCTGCTGCTCGTGAGGGTTGTTTTGCCTTCCATTTTTTATTTCTACTCCTATTCCAATCCTGATTGTCTTCTTTGTCATAAATTGAATCCTTTCGGTGTTCCTGTTCTCGCCTTCTTATACACTGGAATCCCATTGTTTCCCGTGATCTTTCTCCTGTTACCTTTACTTGCTGGGTTCAGCAACTCATCCGACTAGCTTATTCTGAATTGTCAATGGAAGATCCACAGCTGTTTAATGTGTCATCGCACCAGATACGCCATATTACTTTGTATTTAGGTGCTCAGATCTGTCCTTTAAAGGAGATTGTACAAGCAGGTATGTGGACAACTCCCAATATGTTCGTCGCACATTATTTGCATGATATTGCTGTACCCTCCTTGGTCGGGTATCATCTTCTGCCTGTAGGGATTCTCCACACGTCTATTACACCTTGAACAGGGGTAAGTTAACATTTTGGTTTCACTTATGCATCCTTTGCATTTCTGGATCTCACCTGGTGGCGGGTGTTGTCTGGTCAGGTGTGTTGAGTTGTTTTATATTAGCACTTACTCTACTTCTTTCTAATGCTCACCTTGGAGATGGAGTGTTTCTGTAAGACCACCAGATGCTTTTCTGGTGGTGTATCTATATCTCCTGAGGACCGTCATTCATGGACTTCATGAGTAAAGCAGATGGGGGATCTTGCCCATCCGTACTGACCTGTGATTCTTACAACTTGAGTTTTTCTGG